ATGTGTCCATCCCCCCCGGCATGTTATCCTACGTGTCCATCCCCGGCATGTTATCCTCTGTGTCCATCCCCGGCATGTTACGTGTCCATCCTATCCCCGTGTGTTATCCATCCCCCCGGCATGTTATCCTACGTGTCCATCCCCGGCATGTTCTCCTACGTGTCCATCCCCGGCATGTTATCCTACGTGTCCATCCCCGGCATGTTATCCTACGTGTCCATCCCCGGCATGTTCTCCCCGGCATACGTGTCCATCCCCGGCATGTTATCCTACGTGTCCATCCCCGGCATGTTATCCTACGTGTCCATCCCGGCATGTTATCCTACGTGTCCATCCCCGGCATGTTATCCTACGTGTCCATCCCCGGCATGTTATCCTACGTGTCCATCCCCGGCATGTTATCCTACGTGTCCATCCCCGGCATGTTATCCTACGTGTCCATCCCCGGCATGTTATCCTACGTGTCCATCTCCCCGGCATGTTATCCTACGTGTCCATCCCCGGCATGTTATCCTACGTGTCCATCCCCGGCATGTTATCCTACGTGTCCATGTGTTATCCTACGTGTCCATCCCCGGCATGTTATCCTACGTGTCCATCCCCGGCATGTTATCCTACGTGTCCATCCCCGGCATGTTATCCTACGTGTCCATCCCCGGCATGTTATCCTACGTGTCCATCCCCCCCGGCATGTTATCCTACGTGTCCATCCCCGGCATGTTATCCTACGTGTCCATCCCCCCGGCATGTTATCCTACGTGTCCATCCCCGGCATGTTATCCTACGTGTCCATCCCCGGCATGTTATCCTACGTGTCCATCCCCCTACGTGTCCATCCCCGGCATGTTATCCTAGGTGTCCATCCCCGGCATGTTATCCTAGGTGTCCATCCCCGGCATGTTATCCTACGTGTCCATCCCCGGCATGTTATCCTACGTGTCCATCCCCGGCATGTTATCCTACGTGTGTTATCCTATGTGTATCCCCCGGCATGTTATCCTACGTGTCCTATCCATCCGGCATGTTATCCTACGTGTCCATCCCCGGCATGTTATCCTACGTGTCCATCCCCGGCATGTTATCCTACGTGTCCATCCCCGCATGTTATCCTAGGTGTCCATGTCCCCGGCATGTTATCCTAGTGTCCATCCCCGGCATGTTATCCTATGTGTGTCCTATCCCCGGCATGTTATCCTATGTTATGTTATCCTAGTGTCCATCCCCGGCATGTTATCCTAGGTGTCCATCCCCGGCATGTTATCCTACGTGTCCATCCCCGGCATGTTATCCTAGGTGTCCATCCCCGGCATGTTATCCTGTGTGTCCATACACACACAGACTGGAATCAACGTTTTTTGGCTGGAAAAAAAAAACCCAAAACTAGTGGGTTTCTAGACACTTCCTGTCCGGCCCATGTTTATAAACAGCCTCCCCGCCCCCTGCTTGTGCACGCTCCCTGGGAGCACGCAGCACCGCAATCTCGTGCCCGCTGTGTCCTCCGGACCTGATCACTGATTGTTCACATGCAGAGTAGTAAGCAAGATGTCACTTCCTGACATCATTGCTTACTACGTGTGAAATCTGTGAATGATCATAGAGATCACATGGTACAGGGCTATTCACAACAGCAGTGTACCATGTGACAAGCTGTGACCAATCACAGCTCACAGTATTTCTCAATGGCTGCAAGAATGCAGCCAGAGAGAAGGAGAAATGATTGATTTTACAGCCTTTATGGGTGTAAAAGCAATCAGTGGAAAAAAAAAAAAAAATCTTCATCACCCCCCCACAAGTAGTACAGTGTCACCATGGTGACCCTGTACTGCTAGGGTGACAGTGTGTAAAAAAAAAAAAACATAAATAATAATATAAAAAAAAAATGTTTAAATGTATAATTAATTTCAAATTATAATTTTTGGTTATAAACTAATTTGGGTTATTTTTTTTTTTTTACTAAAAAGATAACGGAATAAATTTTGGCCAAGATTTATGATGAAATTTGCAAAATTTTATAAGAAAAAATACTGTTTTTCAAAAGTTTTCGACTTTTTCATTTACATAGCAAAAAAAATAAAAATCCCAATTGTGAATAAATACCTTTTAATAGCTTTATCTGTCTCAAAGAAATGCTAAAAAATGCATACGGGTACAGTGTTGCATGACCGCGCAATTGTCATTCAAAGTGTGATAGCGCTGAAAGCTGAAAATTGGCCTGGACAGGAAGGGGGTGAAGGTGTCCAGACTTGGTTAGTGGTTAAGCTATAAAAACGCTCTAACGCTGAAAAACGTGGGAAAACGCCGCTAAACGCAATGCAAAAACGCTAAAAAAGCTGTAAAACTCACAGCTAACATTACCAGCGTTATCAAAACGTCCCGTGTGCATGAGGACTAAACCTCAGATATGTAACCACTGACCTTGCAGGGTGATGAAGAAACCCCATGCTGGGAGTAACCTCTATAATTGCTTTCCAATAGTACTTTGAGTTTAATTTGCTCACCTTCTTTTTAGTTCTTTATATACTTGGAGGTCAGGGGCGGACTGACAACTCATGGGGCCCCCGGGCAATAGGGGATCATGGGGCCCCTGTGTCCTTGCCCAAACTCAAAAAAGCCTATGAAAAAGGTACCAGGGGCATCTCATGGGGCCCCCTACTGACCCCGGGCCCTCGGGCAGTGCCCGAGTTTCCAAATGGTCAGTCCACCCCTGTTGGGGGTGTATGTATAAATAAACAAGCAGATCTCATCGTCCTGCAAACCTGCATGTACAGTGAAGGAAATGCATATTTGATCCTCGGCTGATGTTGAATGTTTGCCCGTCACAAAGAAATGATCGGTCTACAAATCGAATGTTCGGTGTATTGTAACACTGAGAGACAGAATAGCAACAACAAATTCAGCAGAAATGCGTCTAACAAATGATGACTGATCTGCATGTTCATGAGGGAAATAAGTATTTGATCCCCTTCACAAAACATGGCTTAGAACTTGGTGGCAAATCCCTTGTTGGCCATCACAGAGGTCAGACGTTTCCTGGAGTTGGCCCCCAGGTTTGCACACATCTCAGGAGGGATTTTGGCCCACTCCTCTTGGCAGATCCTCTCCAAGTCGTTAAGGTTTGGTGGCTGACATTTGGCAACTCGAACTTTCAGCTCCCTCCACAGATTTTCAATCGGATTAAAGTCTGGAGACTGGCTAGGCCACTCCAGGACCTTAATGTGCTTCTTCTTGAGCCACTCCTTTGTTGCCTTGGCCGTGTGTTTTGGGTCATTGTCATGCTGGAACATCCATGCAAAAAAAAAAAAAAAGTAAATATATTATACCTTTTCTTTTACTAAACCTAGCAGCATAAGGATTGCAAATAGTTCATATTGATTGGATGGGTTTAGTTCCACTTTAAAACATGTGTGTGAAAAGGCACACTTTGATGGCGGGAATGTATTTATTTCAGGTACTTATATAGCGCCGTCAATTTACGCAGCGCTTTACATATATATTGTACATTCACATCAGTCCCTAACCCTCAAGGGGCGTACAATCTAAGGTTCCTAACCCTCAAGGGGCGTACAATCTAAGGTCCCTAACCCTCAAGGGGCGTACAATCTAAGGTCCCTAACCCTCAAGGGGCGTACAATCTAAGGTCCCTAACCCTCAAGGAGCGTACAATCTAAGGTCCCTAACCCTCAAGGGGCGTACAATCTAAGGTCTCTAACCCTCAAGGGGCGTACAATCTAAGGTTCCTAACCCTCAAGGGGCGTACAATCTAAGGTCCCTAACCCTCAAGGGGCGTACAATCTAAGGTCCCTAACCCTCAAGGAGCGTACAATCTAAGGTCCCTAACCCTCAAGGGGCGTACAATCTAAGGTCTCTAACCCTCAAGGGGCGTACAATCTAAGGTCCCTAACCCTCAAGGGGCATACAATCTAAGGTCCCTAACCCTAAGGGGCGTACAATCTAAGGTCCCTAACCCTCAAGGGGCGTACAATCTAAGGTCCCTAACCCTCAAGGGGCGTACAATCTAAGGTCCCTAACCCTCAAAAAGGCGTACAATCTAAGGTCCCTAACCCTCAAGGGGCGTACAATCTAAGGTCCCTAACCCTCAAGGGGCGTACAATCTAAGGTCCCTAACTCACATTCATACATACACATATGAGGGACAATTTAGACAGGAGTCAATTCACCTACCAGCATATCTTTGGAGTGTGGGAGGAAACCCACGCAGGCACAGGGAGGACATGCAAACCCCAGGCAGGTGGTACTGTGGTTGGGGTTCAAACCAACGTTGATGTTTCTTATAATGTTTCTCAGCCTGATAAAAATTATTGTCCAACTCCATTGAATAATCTCTTCTCCCCTTTAGTAATTCTTTTTGGGGTGGGATTTGAACCAATGACCCTAGTACTGCTAGGTGGAAGTGCCAACCATGTAGCCACTGTGCTGCCCTAATGTTGATTATAATGTTTCTCAGCCTGATGAAAATGATTGTCCGACTCCTTTGAATAATCTCTTATCCCCTTTAGCGATCCTTTTTGAAACTAGAATGTGAAGATCAGCATTTTCATTTTTAACCTTTGTTATGCAGTCCATACATGGTTCGAATTCCGAACGATTTTTGAACGAAAATCGGACCTAAGAATAATCGGCCGATTTTCGCTCTGTTAGTGGGGCAATGACATCGGCCGATTTTTATGGTTCCTCCCCATTTTGTTTATCGGGCATGCTGGAAAATTTCACGAAAAACGACCGAATTTTGAAATCATTGGTGGCACCATTGGATTACAGAACGAACGACGTTTTGATTTTTGGACGAAAAATCATTTGGAATTCGAACCATGGCCTGTATTAGTTTGCCGGAAAGTCTTCCCTCCATATGGTGACTGCAAGCTTTGGTTTTGGGTAGATTATTTCCTCTTGGGAAGACACCGGTTTTCTGGTAGATAGAATGAAATGTTATGGTTGAAAGTCCAGAAATCTTTCATTATTTGTCTGGGAATGTTTTACAGCCAATGGAAGAATGCAATGGCCCCATTTCTCCGACCAATTCTGGCGAGCCCACCAGTGACCCAGCACAGCCAGGTAACATCCCAGTATCTAATGTGTAAAACTGGATCATATTTGTCATGGTGATATTTTTTCTTCTCTTCAGTTTTAATAAATGGAGCCCTATAGCTTCTTATGATATTAAGTCATGGATTTAAGCGTATCTGTAGCCCAAACTTTTATTTGTCGGGGAGCTTTAGAATGGAGGGTCAGCAACAGGCCTACCAAGATCTACCTGATGATCTCCGCCATGTTGGGGCATCGAAGGTTTTGGAAGAATTTCCTCACCCTGGTGAGTTGAGAATAACTGATTTAGACCCCTTCCCAGGTCACTTGTGGACCCCCCGGAGCGCAGACGTTCACATTCAAAAGTGCTTTCTGACCTTCTGCCAAACAGCGAGCAACTCAACAGGAATCTACTGTATAAATGATTGACAGCTTGCTGAATTGTTGGCTGTGTTTCCTTCACAAGGATTCCCCATGTACAGTAAATGAATAAATAGAAAGTATTGCCTTTATATCATTTCCTATTAGTTATAAAACATTATGGTGAATTATGTTGGATTTATAAGGGAGGCAAAAGGGGGAAACTGCTCCATTGACAGAAGGGCCCCACCCTATATAAAATAATATAAAACAATATTATAAAATAATAAAAAATAAATAATAATAAAAATATATAATAATACTTTCTTTTATTAAATGTATCTTTGGAAGTAATATTTTTCTGGCCATCCTCTGTAAAAGTTCCTACTCTGGATTTGTTTAGTGTATCATTTTAAAAACTAATTTTGGTGGCTTGAGTGAAACACGCAAATAGTGTTCTTAAGGAAGGTAGCCTATGACTGTGTGTGTGTGTGTGCTTGTGTGACCGCAGTATGACATTGTGTCATGCATTTTGAAAATGTGTGACTGTCAGTGAGAATGTACACCAATTCTGTGTATAATGTGGCCCCAAAACCTGAAGTGCCCTGGGTTCCCCAAGGTCTAAATCTGGTCCTACCTGCCCCTGTATTTCTCTCCTAATATATTCTATTAAAATCTAGGCATCCCTACTGGGCGTGCTCATTATCCAGCCAAAGAACAGAGAGTGAAGGTAGGAGGCCCTTGCTCATGAGGTGTGGAAATAAAGGTGCCTTATTATCGGACCAGAGGTCAAAGAGCGATGACAGGGAGCCGGTGCTACTGGCCTTTAAGAAATGGAGACATCTCATTGTCTGACCAGAGGTCCAAAAGTAAACGCAGGGAGACCATGCTTTCAGATGTGTAGGTTCTTCATTATCTGAGACCAAAGAATGAGGACAGGGAGTCAGTGCCCATGGACACTTGGAAATGAAGCCATCTTACTATCTGACCAGATATCTAAAAGTAGCAGATCTCAAAAGTTTATGAGTCAACAAAAGGGATTCCTGCCATTCTGAAGGGGGGTTTGAAGAACCCAATTTGGCTTCCCAACTAGACAAAAATGAAGGTTCAGATGGGAAATGATAGCAGAGTAGTAACTTGTAAACATTGGAAAGGACATGGGATGGTTTATGCATCTGAAGCAGTAATCATTCAAAGTCTGTTAAGAGTCTACTAAATGGTGAAAGCTGGGGCAAGTATTGGATATATGGAATTGACGGTATTGTAACCAACTTGAGCCTGAATGGAGGCCTAAAGAGGACAGAGAAGGGAGTTTGCCAAAGTAAACGCTGGGAAACCATGCTCTCAGAGGTTTGAAAATGAAGATTCCTCGTTATCCAACCAGAAGTTAGACTGAGAACAGGACAGTGCTCTTGGACATTTGGAAATAAAGACGATGAACTGTGCAACCTGAAGTATAAAAGTAACGGCAGGAAGACTGTGACCTAGGACAGGGTTTCTCAAACAGTGTTCCATAGGGTTCCTCCAGAGGTTGCTAGGGTTTCTGTGAACAATTTCTAACTGTCAGATAAGTTCCCAGTGACACCATTGATCCTTTTAGCTATCTGTAGGGGGGTAATTCTTCCCAATGACCACAAGTGTAAGGAGCGTTCATCCCGCTGACCATCACACTAATGTATCTTGAGTTGTAGATATAGTCATTTTTAGCAGGGGTTCCCTGAGACCAGAAAATTATTTCAAGGGTTCTTTTGTGTTGAAAAGTTTGAGAAGGTCTTATCTAGGAGGTGCCTGAAGTGAAAGTGCCACATTGTCTTACTAAAGGTCCAAAAATTAGAGCAAAGACCCTGTGCTTATGGAGACTTGAAAATAAGAATGCCTTCACCAGTTCTTTTTAACTGAAGATAAAATTGGTTTGCCTGTTGGATTAAGAACAATGTGCAAAGATCAGGTATGTAGGTATGTATGACTTTGTCCTTTTCTTTTCCCAGCCACTTGCTGTCAGAGACTGTGCTCTTCTCTGCGGAGGTTCTTCTGCCGTTCAAATTCAGAGGAAGCCAAAGTAGAAGGCCCACCTCAGGTTTGTAGTAATATTAGTGCACGAGACTCTCATGACTACTCTAGACACCCTGTAGAGTGGCAGGCTAAATTAAAGATCCCATCGGGGTCTGTATGTCTCTCCTACTATGTTTCAGGAGAGAGACTTATATTGCCTTTTCCATGGATCCCCAAATCTTGCGCTAGTCTATATGTAGCCACCAGGGGTGGACTGACAACTCATGGGGCCCCTGTGTCCTTGCTCAAACTCAAAAAAGCCTATGAAAAAGGTACCAGGGGAATCTCATGGGGCCCCCTACTGACCCTGGACCCTCGGGAAGCGCCCGAGTTTCCAAATGGTCAGTCCGCCCCTGGTAGCCACACAGCCTGATTGTATGAAACCAAATGGACTTTTTTGGTGGGCCATTACAATACATAGTTGTTTTTCTGTTTCAAATGCTGCTTTGCGCATTGACATACCTCCTTAGACAAAGTCTGTCCGACAGTATGGTCACCTGCTGACTTCTCACTATCCACAGGCAGCTCTACTCTTCAGTAAGACACAGAAGTTGAATCCAATATAATCTTACTTTGTATAATTGCACTTCAGAGGATGTTTTTCCAGATTTCTGAAGTGTAAGGAGACTATGGGGTTGATGTATTAAAGGCAAATAGGCTGTGCACTGCAAGTGCAGTTGCCCTAGATCTGAGGGGAGCATGCAAGGAAAATAAAAAAAACAGCATTTTTGCTTGGACGTGATTGGATGAAAGAAATCAGCCTTATTTCAGATATGATTTCGGATCTAAAGCAACTGCACTTGCAGTGCACAGCCTATTTGCCTTAGGAATTCAACTTCAATGCCTTTCCTAAGCCTGTCTCTGTGAAGCATTAACTGAGGGAACATGGAGGAACTGGGGGGGGGGGGGGGGGGGGGGGGGTTAGCTAGAACTGAACTAACTACCATTAATCAAATAAAAGAAAAAAAAAAGCGCAGCAGCCTAGTGCATTATCCTCGTGGGTTTATTAGTAGTATGAAGAGCTAAAAACATACTCACAAACGCAAGTGATATATGGCACGTGAAGCCAACATTGGTGGAACAAACGATGTAAAGACTCAAGTGGACCCAACGCCAGCAGAAGTGCCGTCCAGGATCCGAGACAGCCGTCTTTTTTTCTTTTCTTTGATTTTATGCAGTATTGCTGGACTTCCCTGGTTGTAGGAAGGCAGCAAGGCCTCAATATCCCTGGATGTGGGTTCATAGGGGACCCTTTCGACCCTGGACTATCACACCCATGAGCAGGAGCAACTGTTTTATTTTGTTACCTAACTAGCATTAAACAGGGAGAGAGGAGAGAGAGGGGGGGAGAGAGGAAGGGGGGAGAGAGGAAGGGGGAGAGAGGAAGGGGGAGAGAGAGAGGGGGAGGGAGGAGAGAGGGAGGGGGAGAGAGAGGGGGGGATGGAGGGGGGGAGATGGAGAGAGAGAGGGAGGGAGAGAGAGAGAGGGAGGAGAGGGGGTGGGAGAGAGAGGGAGGGAGAGAAGAGAAAGGGAAGAGAGAGAGGGGGGGAGGGGGGGGGAGAAAAAGAGGATAGATAGAGGGGAAAGAGAGAGGGAAGAGAGAGAGGAGGGGGGGGAGAGACAAGAGAGGGAGAGAGAGAGAGGAGGGGGGGGGAGAGACAAGAGAGGGAGAGAGAGAGAGAGGGGATGGGAGAGAGAGAGAGGGAGAGGGGAAGGAGAGAGGGAAGAGAGAGGGAGATAGAGAGAGAGAGGTGGGGGGAGAAACAGAGAGAGAGAGGGAGGTGGGGGAGAGGGAGGGGGAGAGAGAGAGGCAGAGAGAGGGAGAGAGAGGGGGTGGGAGAGAGGGAGGGAGGGAGGGAGGGAGAGAGAGAGAGAGAGGGGGGGGGAAGAAAGGAGGGGGAGACCACTGAACAATAATGACCTGATGCGGTCAGAATAAATACATACAAGTGGGACCGAACAGCTGTTGCAAATGTAATTCTGGCCAGATATGCTTTCATGTTTCCTTTGACACGCTGAGCTGGTCTGGTCTGCTAAAGGTGCCATTTAAAGCTTTATGTTCCATCTCTTCTATAAGTACAAAATGCTACCTGGTGATCCTGCTAGAAAATCAGTGACCTATGCACGCTGCATGTGCTGAACTTTGATCAGTTATGTTATTCCCAACTATCTCCGAGGACTGCAACACCTAACACACTACCTGTCCCGGGGTGACAACGTTGCTCTTCATAGATACAATACAGTGAGTGAGCGTTGTCACCTTAGGATAGGAAGTGTGTCACTGGCAGGATCACCAGGTGAAAATAAAGGAAAGAAGCCATCACATCTAAGGACTGGTAAGCCGCAATGTATTACAAGTTTGTTCTTGAATTTAGATATTTTAATTAGCTTTTAGCTCTTTAGTTGTTTGGGTTTTTTTTTGCATTGCTTGAATGTTACATTATAAAATGTTGGCATGAACGTCTCCTTGTTTTTGTATTTGACAGGAATCTGAGCCTGAAGACCCCATGACACCAGAGGAGGTGAGAGACACAGAAAACCTCAGCTCCCTGCTACACAACTGCTCATAGTGACACTAAGCCCGGGTTCACAGGTGCGGAATTTGCAGCGTTTTCGGTGCGAATTCCGCACGGCATCAGAATTGCACCCTGTTCATGCGAATCGCTGCGGGTGTGTTAACAACACCCCGAAAGCGGTCCACAAAACGTGGGGCGATGTGCAGAATCGGATCGCATAGGTGTGAATAGCCATGCGATCCGATTCTAGTGCGGACCCAAAAAAGGGTCCTGCACGTTTTTGGTGCGGGTGCGGTGCGATTAGTGCCACACAAAATGTACGGCTCCAATCGCACCGCACACAAATCACATGTGATCTGCACAGGAATGCGGTGCGGTTCCTGTGCGAATCACATGCGATATACCGCACCGCATGTATGTGAACCCGGTGTAAACGATATCCCTATTCTCAAAATATGATCCATACACATCTACAAAGGGTGGACTGACCATTTAGGCACTGCCCGAGGGCCCAGGGTCAGTAGGGGGCCCCATGAGATGCCCCTGGTACCTTTTATAGGCTTTTTTGGGTGTGGTTTGAATGTGGGCGAGGACACAGGGGCCCCATGATTTCCTATTGCCCGGGGGCCCCATGAGTTGTCAGTTCCCCCTGACATCTACACTACTACATCTACTCATCACATCTACTCTACATACACCATCAACTAAACACCCACTACTTAATGGCCCTGTAATCTCATTCTTCCTCAAACCGTTCCTTACTGTGTTTTTCTGCCTCCTTGTAACACTCTCTGTAAGCTCCCGAACCTCTCTTTTTCCCTCTCACGTCCTGTTGTTTGGAATGAACAGTGCACTTTAGTTGTGGTTATGTGCACTGCTTTATGTACACTTCAGTTCCCATAGTCCATGCCGGGGAGCGAGCAAAAGAGGGTGGCCATGTTCCTCCTTACAGTGTGGTCACGGAGATCCAACGTAGTAGCTCCCTCCGTATCAGGAGGTCGAATCACACCAATTAAAAAAAATTAAATGAGCTGGTGGGAGCAAAGGAAGGGACTTTTTTTTTTTAAGTTAAGAAAACATAGTTTTTTTTAAATCAGAGGTTAATGTCACTTTAACCAATTCTGGACCGCCCACCACAATTTTACTGCGGCAGGCCGACCCAGCATAATTTCTGGGTAGGGGGCACGTGCTCCGCCCGATTTGTGCTGTCATTCGCTACAGCACAAGACGGTCAGCAGGTCCTGGCCAATGATTTATGGCTGGAACAGGGGCGGACTGACAACTCATGGGGCCCCCGGGCAATAGGGGATCATGGGGCCCCTGTGTCCTTGCCCAAACTCAAAAACGCCTATGAAAAAGGTACCAGGGGCATTTCATGGGGCCCCCTACTGACCCAGGGCCCTCGGGCAGTGCCCGAGTTTCCAAATGGTCAGTCCACCCCTGGTAGCCACACAGCCTGATTGTATGAAACCAAATGGACTTTTTAGGTGGGCCATTACAATACATAGTTGTTTTTCTGTTTCAAATGCTGCTTTGTGCATTGACATACCTCCTTAGACAAAGTCTGACCAGACAGTATGGTCACCTGCTGGCTTCTCACTATCCACAGGCAGCTCTACTCTTCACTAAGACAGAAGTTGAATCCAATATAATCTTACTTTGTATAATTGCACTTCAGAGGTTGTTTTTCCAGATTTCTGAAGTGTAAGGAGACTATGGGTTTGATGTATTAAAGGCAAATAGGCTGTGCACTGCAAGTGCAGTTGCCCTAGGTCTGAGGGGAACATGCAAGGAAAATAAAAAAAACAGCATTTTTGCTTGGACGTGATTGGATGAAAGAAATCAGACTTATTTCAGATATGATTTCGGATCTAAAGCAACTGCACTTGCAGTGCACAGCCGACCCTGCTGCATAATTTCTGGGTAGGGGGCACGTGCTCCGCCCGATTTGTGCTCTCATTCGCTACAGCACAAGACGGTCAGCAGGTCCTGGCCGATGATTTATGGCTGGAACAGGGGCGGACTGACAACTCATGGGGCCCCCGGGCAATAGGGGATCATGGGGCCCCTGTGTCCTTGCCCAAACTCAAAAACGCCTATGAAAAAGGTACCAGGGGCATCTCATCGGGCCCCCTACTGACCCTGGGCCCTCGGGCAGTGCCCGAGTTTCCAAATGGTCAGTCCGCCCCTGGGCTGGAACCTGCTGACTGGCACAGTGACTGACAGTACAAAGCCCTGTGTTGATAAACAACACAGGGCTCTGTATAGACAGCAGGGATCCGGCTGTTTCTTTCTCCCTGGGAAGCAGGGAGATAAAACAGTCACATCCCTTAGTAAAAGGAGCACACACTACAAACAATACACATTATTAGGCACACTGTTATCCCTTTAATTGCCCCTAGATGTTAACCCCTTACCAGCCAGTGTCATTAGTACAGTGATAGTGTATAGTATCAGCACTGAGCACTGTATTGGTGTCACTGGAGATGTTAGTTCCAGTTAATCAGTTCTCACTCAGAGTCAGTGTCTGATTGCCCGCCGCACTATCACAGTCCCACTATAAATCCCTGATCACCTTCATCACTAGTATAAAAAAAATAAATAAATCAAAATTCCAGTATATATACTAGACACTTAGTAGACATTATAACTTTCGCACAAACCAATCAATATACGCGTAATGGGATTTTTTTTTACTAAAGACGTGGCAGAATACATTTTGGCTAACATTTCTGAACAAATTAGATTTTTTTATATTTTAAACACACACACATGAATATAAATATATATATATATATATATATATATATATATATATATATATAAATATATATATTTTATACATTTATACACACAGTATATATATATATATATATATATTGAATTTTTCGTCTTTTTTTTGTTTATATAATAAAAATAATTAAAACAATTAAAAACCCAGTGGTGATCAAATGCCACCAAAATAAGTCTCTATTTGTGAGAAGTAAATTATAAAAATTGTGTGTTCCATGACTACTCAATTACCAGTTAAAGTAGCTTTGTTCCAAAAAGCCAAAAATGCCCTGGTCATGACGGGGATAAAATTTTCCAGAGCTCAAGTGATTAAACAAACACAGAGTGTATGATTTTCAATCTACCGTATTTGCCGGCATATAAGACGACTGGGCGTATAAGACGACCACCAACATTTCCACTCAAAATATAGAGTTTGTTATATACTCGCCGTATAAGACTACCCCCTCTTCCGCACACCTTCCACACACCAAATAAAACGTAAAAGAACATCAGATTTGATTTCAACATCTTAATTTATATTCGCAGTATACCCCTGTGTGCATTTATTGTTACCGGTTTCACATGAGTGCCATTAGTATTAGTGCCACTACAGTACCTGTCATTGTCACCATTGTACGCGACCGCAGCGCCTCCGGCCAGTCCCTGCATCTCCCTGTAATTGGCACTAGTGCGCATGTGCGAGCTCTGCATAGACAAGGGGCAGGGCCGGAGCGCCGCTGCTTCCCGCCGAGCAGAAAAGGCTGGCACCCCTGTATCGCTGCTGATGCTCGCCGCAGCCACGCTGATGACCCGCTGTGGCCGCACTGGATGGTATGTAGAATGAGGTGGGCGGGCGGGCATCGGGAGGCCACTATGGCAGCTATATCTATCCCAACTGAAGTGCACCCGGCGTATAAGACGACCCCCCCACTTGGAGGCATGTTTTTCAGGGCAAAAAAGTCGTCTTATACGCCGGCAAATACGGTACCTATTGATGAACTTGCATTGAGATAAGAGGAGCAGAAGCAATATGCTGAACAGAACAGATATTAAAGACAATATGTACTTTTTTTTAAGCTACAACAGCAAAAGTGAAAAAGTTAGTTTTGCTGAAATTTCTGTGAAATTCATGATATTTTGGTAAAATGTTACCATTTCAGTCAAATATATTGAAGTCGCAAGGGAGGATGAAGGAAGGTGATTTCAGTTGGCTTCAAACGTTTCAATATGCTTTGAATAACTGTTAGTTTTCTATGTATTTATTGGTAATTGACTTTTTTCAGTAAAAAATAAAAAAAGAACCCCACAAATATATTAACTATTTTGTGCCTGTTTTTTGTATTTGATGGGTTTTAACATATTGGTGTCCGTTTATGACACAGAATAGCTGCGATTCAGAGGATCACAGCTATTCTCTGGTCATTCACAGTTTATGACACCCAGGAGAACATTTTCAGCTCTTCACTGGAGATCTGTGTTCTCCCTCCAGATTCTCCAGCCCAGAGCTGGAGAATCGGAGGGACCGCAAACTAAGCAGAGATAATTTATCTCTGCTTAGTAAACTGATCTTTTACTGTAATCTCGCGAGATTATAGTAAAATCAGCCGTTTTCCAGCGTTTGTAGATCGCTCTCCCTTCGTTTGGAGAACTGATCTTCATATGCTTCATAAACGGCATTCACAGGAGAACTGTGTTCTCCGAGAATGCCGGAGAACTGAGCAGTGATCTATTACTGCTGGTTCATAAACGGACACCATAACTGTTTAGCACAGTGGCTAAATGGTTAGCACTTCCACCTGGATTCGTTTTTGGTTCTAATCCCAACAACAGCACCACCTGCCTGGAGTTTGCATGTTCTCCCTGTGCCTGTGTGGGTTTCCTCTAGATACTTCAGTTTCCTCCCACACTCCAAAGACATGCTGGAGGTGAATTGGCTCCTGTCTAAATTGTCCCTAGTATGTGTATGTATGAATGTGAGTTAGGGACCTGAGATTGTACACCCCTTGAGGACAGGGACTGATGTGAATGTACAATATATATGTAAATACATTGAAGGTGCTATATAAGTGCCCAAAATAAATTAATAAAATACACAAAACATGAGAAACACAATTACATTATTGTATATTTTCTATATTTTTGAATGACTGTTTTAAGCAGTAAAATACAATAAAAAAGAAAACAAAAACATTCACATTCTTGTGTATTGTGAAAAAACAAAGCACAAAAATAACTTTAAAAATGTAGAGACGCAACATGCAAAATATAACGGCATTTTCTTTTTTTGTGTATGTTATTGGTATTTGATGTTTTTTTTTTAACATTCTATATAACAATAAAATACATAAACAAGAGAAAACCCAATTACAGTCTTGTGGATTGTCTTTTCTCTACGTTTTTGAATGACTACTTTTAGCATTGTTTTTTATACTGTTGGAAAACCTGAAATAACAAAATTATTTGAAAAAGGAAAAAACATCTATTCTTGTATAGAGTCTCTTTATATTTTTAGATAACTAACTTAGCTCAACAAACAATAAAATACATTACAAAATAGGCAAAAAAAAAAAGAAAAAAAAACACAGATACACACACGGGAAAAGATACCAACTTTGCTTGTGTTTTTGTTATATTTATTATTTCAATTGATCAGTAATCATGTACGATGTCCTTAAAAATATAAAAACAGTTTTTGTAAATGTTTTGTGTCTTTTATTAAGATTACTATTTTTTTCAGGTGGTGCTTGCTTTATTAATATACATAAGCCATGTGATCAACATGTTCTTGCGCAACCTTATGATCATCAATGGTGTTGGTAATAATGTGGGTTTTGTTTCTAAACAAAGCCATGGCAAATGGCAATTGGGTCTTTTTAACCACTTCAGCTCTGGAAGGTTTTACCCCTTTCATGACCAGGCCATTTTTTTTTCCCTATACTGCACTGCGCTACTTTAACTGGTAATTGCGCAGTCATGCCACACTGTATAAAATTGAACCTTATCATTTTTTTACACAAAATTCTTTTGGTGGTATTTGATCACCACTGGGTTTTTGTTTATTTATTATTGTTTGCGATATGAACAGAAATGTTGAAAAAAAGCAATATATTTTACTATCTGCCATAAAACATATTCAATAAAAAAAATCTAATTTCTTTATAAGTTTTGGACAAAATGTATTCTGCTGCATGTTTTTGAAAAACAAATCGCAAAGAGTGTATATTGATTGCTTTTTGGGAAAGTTATAACTCCCACAAACGATGGTGTATATATACTGGCATTTTTTGATACTACTAATGGCGGTGATCAGCAACTTAAGCTACTTTGACACTGATTCACGGCAAAAACAGCAAGAACGCATAGGGGTTTTTACTGCGCTTTTTCCGTGCTTTCGGAGCGTTTTTTAAAGGACACGTGACTTAAAAACTGCACCAACAATGCTGTTGAGAGGCGTTTTTGAGGAGAGTTTCAGGTGTTTTTCAGGCATTTTCCATTGATTTCAATGGGAAGAGGCATTTTTGGGGTGTTTTTTTTAACTCCCCAAACATGCCCCAAAGATGCTGCAAGCAGGAGTTTTTGAACCGCACCGCAAGCGCAACGCCTCAGTGTGAAAACATACATAGATATACATTCACATACATAGATATACAGTACAATCACATACATAGGGAAGCAGTTTTCTTGAGCTTTTCAGGCGCTTGAAAAACGTGTGAAAAAGTGCTTGAAAGAGTGTGAAAGCAGCCTTCTAGTGGGAATGCGGGAGTGCAGCGGGCAATCTGATTGACACTGACTAACTGCAACTGACATCACTAGTGACATTAATACAGTGATCAGTGATAATACTATACACTGTCATTGTACTAATGATATTGGCTGGGAAGGGGTTAACATTTAGGGTGATCAAGGGGTTAAATGTGTGCCTAGCTATCCCACTTGGAAGAAAAATATATTTTAAATATATTTTAAAAATATTCTTCCCAAATCTATTGACATATACAGTTGCAAGAAAAAGTATGTGAACCCTTTGGGATTACGTGGAGTTTTGCATGAATTGGGCATAAAATGTGCTCTCAACGTCATCTAAGTCACAACAATAGAAGAACACAGTCTGCTGAACATAACACTACACAAACATTAGATGTTGCCATGGTTTAATTGCACATAACATATAAACATTCACAGTGCAGGGAGGAAAAAGTATGTGAACCTTTGGACTTAATAACTGGATGACCCTCCTTTGGCAACAATAACCTCAACCAAACATTTCCTGTAGTTGCAGATCAGACCTGCACAACGATCTGGAGTCATTTTGGACCACTCCTCTTCACAAAACTGTTTCAGTGTAGCAATATTCTTGGGATGCCTGGTGTGAATCGCTCTCTTAAGGTCATGCCACAGGTTGAGGTCAGGACTCTGACTGGGCCACTCCAGAAGGCGTATTCTGTGCTGTTGCAGCCATTGTTTTCTTGAATTACTTGTATGCTTTGGGTCATTGTTCTGTTGCATCACCCATCCTCTGCGGAGCTTCAGTTGGCGGACAGATGGTCGTACGTTTTCCTGCAAAATGTCTTGATAAACTCTGTAATTCATTTTCCCATCAATGACAACAATCCGTCCAGGCCCTGAGGCAGCAAAGCAGCCCCAAACCATGATGCTCCCTCCACCATGTTTTACAGTGGGGATGAGGTTTTGATGTTGGTGTGCTGTGCCTTTATTTCTCCACACATAGTGTTGTGTGTTCTTCCCAAACAACTCAATCTTGGTTTCATCTGTCCACAGTATATTTTGCCAGTAGTGCTGTGGAACATCCAGGTGCTCTTTTGCAAACTTCAAACGTGCTGCAATATTCTTTTTGGACAGCAATGGCTTCCTCCGTGGTGTCCTCCCATGTACTCCATTCTTGTTTAATGTTTTCCTTATTGTAGATGTGTCAAAAAAAATGTTAGCATGTGCCAGAGATTTCTGTAGGTCTTTAGCTGACACTCTGGGATTCTTCTTTACCTCAAGCAGCATTCTGCGCTGTGCTCTTGCAGTCATTTTTACAGGACGACTACGCCTAGGGAGAGTAGCAACAGTGCTAAACTTTCTCCATTTGTAGACAGTCTGTCTTACCGTGGACACATGAACGTCAAGGCTTTTGGAGATACTTTTGTAACCCTTTCCAGCTTCATGCAAGTCAACAATTCTTGATCGTAGGTCTTCTGAGAGCTCTTTTCTGCAAGGCATGGTTCACATCAGACAGTGTTTCTTGAAACCAGTAAACCCAAAACAGGTGTGTGTTTTTTAAGGGCAGGACAGCTGTCAGCAAGACATCCAATATCATCACACTGATTGGAGTCAAGGTTGGCTCACTCCTGGCTCCAATCAGCTCTGGGAGAAGTCATTAAGGTAGGGCCTCACATACTTTTTCCTCCCTGCACTGTGAATGTTTACATGTTATGTGCAAGTAAACCATGGCCAGATCTAATGTCTGTGTAGTATTATGTTCAGCAGACTGTGTTCTTCTATTGTTGTGACTTAGATGACGTTCAGAGCACATTTTATGCCCAATTCATGCAAAACTCCACGTAATCCCAAGGGGTTCACATACTTTTTCTTGCAACTGTAGTTACATAGTTAGTCTGGCTGAAAAAGACAAAAGTCCATTCAGTTCAACCATAAAAAAAAAAAAGTTATATTCCTACATCCACCATTGATCCAGAGGAAGGCAAAAAAAAAAAAAACAGCAATGCATGATCTAATTTGCACCTGCTGGGAAAAAATTCCTTCCTGATCCCCTGAGAGGCAATCAGATATTCCCTGGATCAACTTTACCTATAAATGTTAGTATCCAGTTATATTTTTTGTATCTAAGAAATATATATACTGTATGTTGAAATACGTTTTTTATAGATTACAAAATATATGAAAAATATTTTTTTAAATATAATTTTTTTTAAATATATTCTTCAGATTTTTTTAACATATAAAAAAGTCATTTTAACATACATTTTTACATATATTTGTAAATGCACTCCAAAAATGCAGATTAAATGTATTTTTAAAAAGACATACCGTATATTTGAAAATGTATTTTTAAAAATATTGTTCATATATTTTGTAATATATATAAAAAAAGCATTTGAACATACAGTATATGTATGTGTGTGTATATATATATATATATATTATATGTATGTGTATATATATATATGTATATATATTTTTATTTATTTTTTTTTAAATATATTGAATACAGCCAAAATTTTAGTATTTCAAATATATGTCGATATATTTGGGAAGAATATCTTTAAAATATATTTTTCTTCCATGTGGGAAAGAGTGCTGCTTTTACTAAACGACCTCTAAGTTTCTCATCCTTGCTTTGCAGGGATGAGAAACTTACAGATCACTCCCTCTGTACAGAGCCCTGTGTTGTTTACCAAGACAGAGCTCTGGACTGTGATTGGACACAGCCGATCAGCAGGTTCCGGCTGTGAATCATTGGCCGGGACTAGCTGACAGGCTCCCGCTATGTACAATCACAGCGGATGCTGGTGGGAAGGGGGTGCAGGCATGCATGTCCGAAACCCGGAATTAGGCAGCAATGTACTCGCCTGTTTGCAATACATTGTGGGGAGCGGGTGGTGTAAAGTTGTTAAAAATCCAAAATGCCAATGTTGTTTTATAAAAAAAAAAATAAAAAAAACAAAAAAAAAAAACCAACAAATCTGACCTTTCAGCACAACATGGTTTTTAAAAAATTTTGGAAATACTATCGATTGCTTCCTATATAAAAAGAATTAAACTGGATGCAGGATCCATTGTAGGATTTTCATTGACTGAATGATTTAAAAATGCATTTTTTTCAGACTGCAGTTTGGGAACAGCAGGAGCTCGGGAAGACCGCTTCGTTTGACAGCTGTTTAATAGACCCATCACCGTTCCAGCTGGTGGAGAGGACTTCCCTTCATAAGGTGCGTCACACAACCCTGACCTTGCAGGATGCGGGGAGAGACAGCCCGACTTGTATCTTTTGTGCAGAGTACTTCACTCAGGCATGAAATCACATTTTCGGAGGTGTTCTGTACACCAGCGGTATACAGAATGTCTTCAGGTTGCAATATTGCATTGAATTATACAGAAAAACGACAGAGGCTGCAGATTGAAAAGGTAAAAGTAAGTTTTAATATTCTGCAATTAGAATATGGTTTGTGTAGCAATTGCACATCGATCAGCCAGGACTTTAGGAGCACCCACCTAAGATTGATTAGGTCCCCTTTTTGGCCTGACCCATTGCGGCATTGACTCCGCTACACCTCTGAAGGTATCTGGCAGCCAGCTGTCAGTAGCAGATCCTGTAGGTTTGGAGGTGGTGCCTCCATGGATCAGACTTGTTTTTCCAGCACATCCCACAAATGCTTGATTGAATTAAATTCGGGAGAATTTGGAGCACAAGTCAACACCTCGAACGTATATATATATATATATATATATATATATATATATATATATGATAACACCACATTGTGCTCAAATCAACCTAAAAAAATGCAAATTCAATATAAATATACAGTATCTCCCAGAAGTGAGTCCACCCCTGGTAAACCCCTCACATTTTTGTAAATCTTTGATTCTCTCTTTTCATGTGACAACACTGAAGAAATGACACTTTGCTACAATGTGATGTAGTCAGTGTACAGCTTGTATAACATGTAAATTTGCTGTCCCCTCAAAATAACTCAACACACCGCCATTAATGTCTTAACCGCTGGCAACAAAAGTGAGCCCACCCCTAAGTGAAAAAGTTTGGCCCAAAGTGTCAATATTTTGTGTGGCCTCCATTATTTTCCAGCACTACCTTAACCCTCTTGGGCATGGAGGTCACCAGAGCTTCACAGGTTGCCACTGGAGTCCGCTTCCACTCCTCCATGACGACATCACGGAGCTGGTGAATTTTAAAGACCGTGCGCTCCTCCACCTTCCATTGGAGGATGCCCCACAGATGCTCAATAGGGTTTAGGTCTGGAGACATACTTGGCCAGTCCAACACCTTTACCCTCAGCTTCTTTAGCAAGGCAGTGGTCGATTTGGAGGTGTTTGGGGTCGTTATCATGTTGGAATACTGCCCTGAGGCCCAGTCTCCGAAGGGAGGGGATCATGCTCTGCTTCAGTATGTCACAGTACATGTTGTACATGTTACACAAGCTGTACACTCACTACTTTACATCGTAGCAAAGTGTCATTTCTTCAGTGTTGTCACATGAAAAGATATAATAAAATATTTACAAAAATGTGAGGGGTGGACTCACTTCTGTGAGATACTGTACAGCATATGGAGTCTCTTACCGACGTCATCGTGTTCTGGAAGCAGATTCTGATACCGGTGCGATGTATTATTTTTAATGCGCATGGTTTTATATTACATGAGTGAGATTTCATGTTGAATAAATGTTGTAAAAGATTTATTACACTATGGGAGACGTATCTCTGTTTGCCTTTGCTTAAGTTTTTACTGCTTGGAGATCTGACATGTCTGTCTGATGAGCGGCTTCCCCAGATGAGAAGATATGTTGAAGAAACCATTGAGGTCCATGTAAATTGCTTGAGCGCTCTATGGCCACTCTTAACCAGAGGGTCATAGAGATCTGGTAAGCTTTCATCCAGATATCATTTTTGGTGAAGGTAGAAGTCGTGTGTATCACGGGCAATACAGTGCTGAATGGGAAGGAAATTCATCTTCTTTGCAGCTCTGGAGAGAACACCCGCTCTTTGAAATTTTGCTTTTGGGACATCTCTTCCTTTTTGGACACTTTTTTATTTACATTTTTTGATTTGATGGACAATTTTAGTTCTTTCAATATTGGGTGATTTATATCATTGCTATTTTGGTATACTGTATATTTATACAGAGTTTGCATACATACACAACAAACTGTGATGCACTGTGTGTTCGGACACCTTTCTATCTGAACCATCATTCACTTTTTCAGCATGTTGAGCTCCAGTAGCTCTTCTATTGGATCAAACCACACTGGCCAGCCTTCGCTCCTGACGTGCATCAATTCCTTGGCTGCCCAAAACCCTGTCCAAGGTTCACCTTTTTTCCTTCCTTGGACCACTTTTGGTCGGTCCTGACCACTGCAGACCAGGAACATCCCACAAGAGCTGCAGTTTTGGGCTTGAAAGCAAGTCATCTAGCCATTACAATTTGGCCCTTGGCAAAGTTACTAAAATCCTTACGCTTTCCCATTTTTCTGCTTTCAACACATCAACTTCAGGGACAACATGTTCACTGGCAGGGGAGGACTGACCATTTGGAAACTCGGGCACTGTCCGAGGGCCCGGGGTTAGTAGTTGGCCCCATGAGATGCCCCTGGTACCTTTTTCATAGGCTTTTTTGAGTTTGAGCAAAGACACAGGGGCCCCATGATCCCCTATTGCCCGTGGGCCCCATGAGTTGTCAGTCCGCCCCTGTTCACTGGCCACCTAGTATATCACACCTGCTTTCTGATAACATTGTAACGAGATATTCAACGTTATTCACTTCACCTTTCAGTGGTGATAATGCTATGGCTGATCGGTGTATGCTATAATAATTTTTTTATTTGCTGTTTTTTTTCTTGAATGTTGACTTTCCCTTTACGTTTTAACCTGACTATAACAATATTTTCTTTCTGTGAAGGGTGCTTCCTGAGGTCTCATTCCCATTCTTTCTCCCCTGCAGACACATACACTATTTTCACTGCTTGGCCTTAGCCAGGCTTATATCACCAGCGGAGGGAAGCTCAGAGGAGTCATCGCTCTGAAGGAGGTATGTAAAGTCTTCAGTAATTAACACAAAATATTAGACCACTAAACAGATATGAGAGACATGGAAACCATATACTTAGACATGTATTAATAGACACTCATTTTACCATGCAAACAACGGATGAAGCATTGCAGACCTCTTCCATAAGACAAAGGCAAGTGAGAAAGTGCAGTTAGCCAAACCGATCGGGATCCTGCCTCTGCCTCTGTTTCTAAAGTGGACCTATATTCAAAAAATAAAAACTTCTTTTTTGTATTGTTAGTTTTGGATAGAGTAGAGAGGGAATTAAAACCTGACAGGGGACCTTTTTTGGGGAGAGAATTCCCCTCCCCTCTTGTCCTAAAGACAAAGCAGAAAATCTCTCCAAAGTGATTAATAATAAAATAAATAGTAAAAAAGGAACATTTGCAAAAATAAGTAACAAAAATAAAAAAAAGAACATTTACAAAATAACTAACTTCATTTAATAATAATAACCATAATAATTATAAAGAGATATTTGCAAAAATAAATAAATACATCTGGCCTGGATTCTTTCTTTGATACACAGAATATAATTGGATACTAACATTTATAGGTAAAGTTGATCCAGGGAATATCCGATTGCCTCTCGGGGGATCAGGAAGGAAGAATTTGTTTCCCTGCAGGAGCAAATTAGATCATGCTTTGCTGGGTTTTTTTGGCTTCCTCTGGATCAACTGGATATAGGATTATCACTTTTTTTTTTAATGGTTGAACTGGATGGGCTTTTGTCTTTTTTCATCCAGACTTACTATGAAATCTAATAATAATGCTAAATAAAACATTTAGAAAAAAAAACATGTACATATAATAATCATCATCATTATCATCATCATCAAGGGAATATTTACACATAATTAATATTATATAGTAATAATGAGAACATTTACAAACAAATAAATAAATAAATCTGATATTATAATGTCGTCTAATAATAATAATAATAGTAGTTACATAGTCTGGCTGAAAAAAAGACAAAAGTCCATCCAGTTCAACCATAAAAAAAAGTATGATCTAATTTGCTTCTGCATAGGAAAAAACTCCTTCCTGATCCCCCCCGAGAGGCAATAGGATATTCCCTGGATCAACTTTACCTATAAATGTTATATCCAGTTATATTCTGTGTATCTAAGAAAGAATCCAGGACTTTCCTACAGCAATCCACTGAGCTGGCCACAACCAACTCTTGAGGGAGTCTATTCCACATTTTCACAGCTCTCACAGTGAAGAAACCTTTCCATGTTTGGAGATTAAGTCTCTTTTCCTCCAGACATAAAGAGCGCCCCCTTGTCCTCTGTGATGACCTCAGGGGGAATAACTACACCGAGTTCACTATATGAACCACTGATGTATTTATACATGGAGATCATATCCCCCCTTATGTATTATACATGGAGATCATATCCCCCCTTATGTATTATACATGGTGATCATATCCCCCCTTATGTATTTTATATGGTGATCATATCCCCCCTTATGTATTATACATGAAGATCATATCCCCCTTATGTATTATACATGGAGATCATATCCCCCTTATGTATTATACATGGAGATCATATCCCCCCTTATGTATTATACATGGAGATCATATCCCCCCTTATGTATTATACATGGAGATCATATCCCCCCTTATGTATTATACATGGAGATCATATCCCCCCTTATGTATTATACATGGTGATCATATCCCCCCTTATGTATTATACATGGAGATCATATCCCCCTTATGTATTATACATGGAGATCATATCCCCCCTTATGTATTATACATGGAGATCATATCCCCCCTTATGTATTATACATGGAGATCATATCCCCCCTTATGTATTATACATGGAGATCATATCCCCCCTTATGTATTATACATGGTGATCATATCCCCCCTTATGTATTATACATGGAGATCATATCCCCCCCTTATGTATTATACATGGAGATCATATCCCCCTTATGTATTATACATGGTGATCATATCCCCCCTTATGTATCATACATGGAGATCATATCCCCCTTATGTATCATACATGGAGTTCATAACCCCCTTATGTATTATACATGGTGATCATATCCCCCCTTATGTAATATACATGGTGATCATATCCCCCCTTATGTATTATACATGGAGATCATAACCCCCTTATGTATTATACATGGAGATCATATCCCCCCTTATGTAATATACATGGAGATCATATCCCCCCTTATGTATTATACATGGTGATCATATCCCCCCTTATGTATTATACATGGAGATCATATCCCCCCTTATGTATTATACATGGAGATCATATCCCCCCTTATGTATTATACATGGAGATCATATCCCCCTTATGTATTATACATGGAGATCATATCCCCCCTTATGTATTATACATGGAGATCATATCCCCCTTTATGTATTATACATGGAGATCATATCCCCCTTTATGTATTATACATGGAGATCATATCCCCCCTTATGTATTATACATTCAGATCGTATCCCCCCTTATGTATTATACATGGAGATCATATCCCCCCTTATGTATAATACATGGAGATCATATCCCCCCTTATGTATTATACATGGAGATCATATCCCCCTTATGTTTTATACATGGAGATCATATCCCCCCTTATGTATTATACATGGAGATCATATCCCCCCCTTATGTATTATACATGGAGATCATATCCCCCCCTTATGTATTATACATGGAGATCATATCCCCCCTTATGTATTATACATGGAGATCATATCCCCCCCTTATGTATTATACATGGAGATCGTATCCCCCCTTATGTATTATACATGGAGATCGTATCCCCCCTTATGTATCATACATGGAGATCGTATCCCCCCCTTATGTATCATACATGGAGATCGTATCCCCCCTTATGTATTATACATTGAGATCATATCCCCCCCCTTATGTATTATACATGGAGATTATATCCCCCCTTATGTATTATACATGGTGATCATATCCCCCCTTATTTATTATACATGGTGATCATATCCCCCCTTATGTAATATACATGGTGATCATATCCCCCCTTATGTAATATACATGGTGATCATATCCCCCCTTATGTATTATACATGGAGATCATATCCCCCCTTAGGTATTATACATGGTGATCATATCCCCCCTTATGTATTATACATGGTGATCATATCCCCCCTTATGTAATATACATGGTGATCATATCCCCCCTTATGTATTATACATGGAGATCATAACCCCCTTATGTATTATACATGGAGATCATATCCCCCCTTATGTAATATACATGGAGATCATATCCCCCCTTATGTATTATACATGGTGATCATATCCCCCCCCTTATGTATTATACATGGAGATCATATCCCCCCTTATGTATTATACATGGTGATCATATCCCCCCTTATGTATTATACATGGTGATCATATCCCCCCTTATGTATTATACATGGAGATCATATCCCCCCTTATGTATTATACATGGTGATCATATCCCCCCTTATGTATTATACATGGTGATCATATCCCCCTTATGTAATATACATGGTGATCATATCCCCCCTTATGTATTATACATGGAGATCATAACCCCCTTATGTATTATACATGGAGATCATATCCCCCCTTATGTATTATACATGGAGATCATATCCCCCCTTATGTATTATACATGGTGATCATATCCCCCCTTATGTAATATACATGGAGATCATATCCCCCCTTATGTATTATACATGGTGATCATATCCCCCCCTTATGTATTATACATGGAGATCATATCCCCCCTTATGTATTATACATGGTGATCATATCCCCCCTTATGTAATATACATGGTGATCATATCCCCCCTTATGTATTATACATGGAGATCATATCCCCCCTTATGTATTATACATGGAGATCATATCCCCCCTTATGTATTATACATGGAGATCATAACCCCCTTATGTATTATACATGGAGATCATATCCCCCCTTATGTATTATACATGGAGATCATATCCCCCCTTATGTATTATACATGGTGATCATATCCCCCCTTATGTAATATACATGGAGATCATATCCCCCTTATGTATTATACATGGTGATCATATCCCCCCCTTATGTATTATACATGGAGATCATATCCCCCTTAATCTCCTCTTCTCAAGAGAGAATAAATTCAGTCCCTCTAATCTTTCCTCATAGCTGATCTCCTCCATGCCTCTTATCAGTTTAGTTGCCCTTCTCTGCACTTTCTCCAGTTCCCCAATGTTCTTTTTGTGAATTGGTGCCCAAAACTGAACTGCATATTCCAGATGAGGTGTTACTAATGATTTGTACCGGGGGGGGGGGGGGGGGGGGGGGGGGGGGGGGGGGGGGGGGGGGGGGGGGGGGGTGGGGGGGGGGGATGATATCTCTCTCTCTGGAGTCTATACCTCTCCTACTACAAAAGAGGATTTTGCTCGCATTAGAACCCGCAGCTTGGCATTGCTGCCATTATTAAGCTTGTGATCTACCAGAACCCCCAGATCCTTCTCCACCATTGACCCCCCAGATCCTTCACCATTGATTCCCCCCAGATCCTTCTCCACCATTGACCCCCCCAGATCCTTCTCCACCATTGATCCCCCAGTTGTACCCCCCTAGTATGTATGATGCATGCATATTTCTTAGCCCCCAAGTGCAGAACCTTACATTTATCAACATTAAACTTCATTGTCCCCATAGTCCCCCAATTACACAGAGCATTGAGGTCGGCTTGTAAGTTGGAGACATCCTGTAAGGACGTTATTCCCGGCACAGCTTGGTGTTATCTGCAAAGACTGAAATGGGATTTATAATCTCAGACCCTATATTGTTTATAAATATATTAAAAAGTAAGGGTCCCAACACTGAACCTTGGGGTACACCACTGACAACACTGAACCTTGGGGTACACCACTGACAACACTGAACCTTGGGGTACACCACTGACAACACTGAACCTTGGGGTACACCACTGACACCCCTAGACCATTCAGAGTATGAATCATTAACCACTACTCTCTGAATATGATCTTTTAGATAGTTTTCTAACCATTTACATACGGATTTTTCCAAGCCTGTAGACTTATCGTTACACATTAGCCGTGTGTGGGGAACTGTGTCAAACGCTTTTGCACAATCCAAGTATACCACGTCTACCGCCACCCCTCTGTCCAAATATTCCACGTCCACCACCACCCCTCTGTCCAAGTATACCACGTCCGCTGCCACCGCTCTGTCCAAGTATACCATGTCCGCCGCCACTGCTCTGTCCAAGTATACCACGTCCACCACCACCCCTCTGTCCAAGTATACCACGTCCACCACCACCCCTCTGTCCAAGTATGCCACGTTCACCACCACCCCCCTCTGTCCAAGTATACCACGTCCGCCGCCACCGCTCTGTCCAAGTATACCACGTCCGCCGCCACCCATCTGTCCAAGTATACCACGTCCACCACCACCCCTCTGTCCAAGTATGCCACGTCCACCGCCACCCCTCTGTCCAAGTATACCACGTCCACCACCACCCCTCTGTCCAAGTATGCCACATCCACCGCCACCCCTCTGTCCAAATATACCACATCCACCCCTCTGTCCAAGTATACCACGTCCACCACCACCCCTCTGTCCAAGTATGCCACATCCACCGCCACCCCTCTGTCCAAATATACCACATCCACATCCACCACTCTGTCCAAGTATACCACGTCCACCGCCACCCCTCTGTCCAAGTATACCACGTCCACCGCCCCCCCCCCTGTCCAAGTATACCACGTCCACCGCCACCCCTCTCTCCAAGTATACCACGTCCACCGCCACCCCTCTGTCCAAGTATACCACATCCACCGCCCCCCTCTGTCCAAGTATACTACGTCCACCGCCACCCCTCTGTCCAAGGTTTTGCTCACCTCCTTATAAAATGAAATCGGATTGTTTGACAACTTCTGTCTTTCATAAATCCATGCTGTCTGTTGCTTAAAATATTTTTTTTCCAGCAAGAACTCATCTATGTGGTTTTTTAAACTCTCCAGTATCTTCCCTACTATGGAAGTTAAACTAACTGGTCTACAATTACTTGGTAAAGATTTTGACCCCTTTTTAAATACAGTTAAGTAAAAAAAAACAGATTTGCAAAAATAAACAAATAACAAAAAAAATAAATAAATTTTATATATATATATATATTTTTTTTTTTTATTTTTTTAATGAATGCAGGGCTTGACAAATCTAAAGTGCCAGTTCGCCATGGTGACTAGAAATTGCGCCCTGGCGCCTGGGTTTTTGTCAGCCCATTCACTGCACGGATGCTCAATTTGTATCATCCGACACCCGGGACAAGCAGTTTCGGACGCCAGGCAGGTAGATTTTTTCCTACATTTAGCCTTGCTGCAGCTAAGCAGCAGGACTCACTTGTCAGATGGAAGCATTCATGCGGCTGAGGTGTTGTTGGTCAATGTCAGGCTCTTTTCGTGGAGGAGGGGGGTGTTGGTCGATGTCAGGGTCTCTCTGTGGGGTCGCGGGGGGGACAATTTTTGTGTTGCCTAGGGAAGCACGAAACCTAAATACACCCCTGATTGGGGTGCCTTTGAATGAAAATGTTAATCGAGATACACATGTTATATATTGCCACGGCCGCCGGAATGAGAGCAATAATTCTAGCACCAGTCCTTCTTCGTAACTCTGAACTGATGTCTTATAGAGGGCTTTTAATGTGTTACCTATACAAAATATAGGGTACTGAAGTTTGGCTTCTAACTTTTTTAGCTGGCTCCTAAATTCAAAGCAAATTTGTCAAGCTCTGGATTAATGATAATACTAATAAAAGGAACATTTGCAAAAATAGATAAATACATCTAATAATAATATTAATAACAAAAATACTAAAGACAACATTTACGAAAAAAATAAATAGTAATAAAGAGAACATTTACATAAATGTGATAAAAATATTTATAAAGATATTTCATTTTCTTTCTTCTTCATTAGTTACAAAAAGCCATAGAAGGCACTGCACAGTCTGGAGTCCGACTACGACCCCCATTTGCCAGTTTTCGGGATGCCAGTCGCTCCATGTCCCAGAGGAAATCCATTAGAGCCGTTCCAAAGGCACCACCTTCCCCCGACCCTTCCATGGTCCCCGATGACGTACCAACCTCGGTGGCCCTTGAAGTGACCCCAGACTCCGAGTTGGACGATCTGTCTGGTCAAGGATCCGAAAACGTGTCGCAGATCCTAAGGGACTTTCAGGCGTCTGCAGAACAGAGTGAAGATGAAGTGCCGCTGTAGTCTAGACCCATAATTCCATGGGGCAGGGTATCTGACCCGTGATCTTCTTCAGGGGTAGCATGGCTATCATGTGTTTTGGGAAGCAGAAGATGTGACGAAGGTTTTGAACGCTAGATGCTTTCTGTGACAAATTTTTAAAAAAGGCCCTTTGGAGAGGCCTCAGAAATGCTTAACATACTTACATTAAGTACGTGCCAATGTTTATGGAAACTGCTTAGGAAGAGCTTCATACAAACCTTTAGGCTTGATACTGGTGGCCCTTTGGCACCAAGATCCACATCTGCTTTAAAAATGTGTACCAAGCAACAACCTCAAAAGCTGCTAACTAGCCAAAGCTCTGCATTCCCAGCCAAAATATCTGGTGCCCAAGCTACATACCTCGACCAGCATCTACCGGAGTTCTGTGATGCCAGAGAGAAGGATGACACCGGGGAATGGTCCCCAGTTCTAGATGGTCACTTTGTAGTCAATGCCACTGGAAATTTTTTTCTCCCCTTGGAACTTTGCAGATGAATGTTTAGGTGGTACAAGACCCGGCCTTTTTACATTTTCTTTGGAAAACTCATTTAATTCTGAAGGAAAGGGAATTGTTGACTTATCTAAGAGGATTGGTCAGAGTGTGTTGGTTTGATAGGTATTAATCAGTGGGATGAAATTAAAAATGTTTCTAATATACTTCCACAAAAAGCTGCTCAAAACAGGATGATAGGGTGCTGGACCCCAAGATAAGTACAGTCCAGGGGCGGACTGACAACTCATGGGGCCCCCGGGCAATAGGGGATCATGGGGCCCCTGTGTCCTTGCCCACACCCAAAAAATCCTATGAAAAAGCCAATGAAAGGTACCAGGGGCATCTCATGGGGCCACCTACTGACTCAAGGTCCTTGGACAGTGCCCGAGTGCTCGAATGGTCAGTCCGCCCCTGGTACAGTCCCACTAAATCCAACTTTTTCAAGCCAGCCAGTATGCTCTTAGTGATCCCCCAAGCACTCTGAATAGCATATATAAAGATGAGAGCCACACAGGTCTGGAGAAGGTTCAGTAAAACTTTGTTTCAACGAGTTTCAGGAGCTGAAAGATCCCTCTTCATCAGGGCTGGGAAAACAAGGCAACATACCTTATAATAAATCAGGAGATGTACATCAATGACTAAATGTCTATAGGAACAAGGTATATGTCATAGAAATTATATATATGTATGTATTTATATATATTTATATAGACACACAGTCAGGGGCAGACTGACAACTCATGGGGCCCCCGGGCAATAGGGGATCATGGGGCCCCCGTGTCCTTGCCCAAACTCAAAAAAGCCTATGAAAAAGGTACCAGGGGCATCTCATGGGGCCCCCTACTGACCCCGGGCCCTCAGGCAGTGCCCGAGTTTCCAAATGGTCCGTCCGCCCCTGCACACAGTGTATACATTCTACATACATAGGCATGCCTTGATTTTATAGGCTTTTAGTCATTGTTTTATATTCCATGATTTATGATAAGGTATGTTGTCTTGTTTTCTCAGACCTGAGGAAGGGTTTTTGTTAGCCACCGAAACGCATTGGATAATTATTCTTACCGAAATAAACTTTGAATGTTCTCTAGACGTGTGCTCTCACCCATATATGTACTCTCCAAGGCTACCTCTTTCCAAAGAGACACTTTTAACTCCTCTCACTCTTGTTTCCTATTCTGGTGTCACCAGGACAAGAAATCAGTAGATATCTCCTCAGACAGACTGTATTAAACACCTAGAGGAGATTTACTAAAGGCAAATAGACTGTGCACTTTGCAAGTGCAGTTGCTCCAGAGCTTTGTAAATAAGGAGAAGCATCGTTTTGCAACAACTACCCAATCACATGCAAGGAAAATGAAAAAAAAAAAAAAATTTTTACTTGAATATGATTGGATGATGGAAGTCAACATAGCTTCTGTTCATTTACTAAGCTCTGGAGCAACTGCACTTGCAAAGTGAAAAGTCTGTTTGCCTTTAGTAAATCAACCCCAATGTATTTGGAGGGCAGAGGCTACAGTCTATACCAGTGGTTCTCAACCTGTGGGTTGCGACCCCTTTGGGGGGTCAAACAACCCTTTCACAGGGGTCGCCTAAGACCATCGGAAAACACATATTTCCGATGTGTAAAGAGCAGCTACTGTGTAGAAAAGCAGCTACTGTGTTGAAAGCAGCTACTGTGTTGAAAGCAGCTACTCTGTTAAAAGCAGCTACTGTGTTGAAAGCAGCAGTATTGGAGGTAAAAAAAACGACACTCATGAATTATAATTACTGGGTAAATCATTTTATGGTTGGGGGTCACCACAACATGAGGAACTGTATTAAAGGGTCACGGCATTAGGAAGGTTGAGTACCACTGGTCTATACCATGTAGAAGTGATAGGCTGCTCACTTATCAAAGAAGAAACATTACAACTAGGGATATAAAGAAATACAAGAGCCCCATGCTCAGTGTGCTGCATACAATGAATGACATTCTGGTGGTTTAGATAAGTTCGATTTTAATATGCAACTTCTTTATAGCTGATCTGCATAAAACTGGGGTCAGAAATATTAAAAACTTAGTGTTACTAAACCCACAACAGTAAAATCAGTCTGTATATGCAGTAAGATTGTTTTACTCATTGTAGAACCTAAGGGGTTAATACTTCGCATTGTGTGAAAAGGCTGTTTGATCCTGTCTTCTCTGATCTTCCCCTTCTTTTACTGTCCCCAATCCATCTGCTGATAGTACAGAGCTCTAGGAGATACTCTGCAGATGCTCAGTTTAGTGTGTAGGGCTAGAGAGTTTTTTTTTTTCTTTGGGAGGGTGCATGTGATCAGCACAGGGCCAATCAACACTTTTTAGACAGAGGGATGTTGTTCAGCCATTGTGATAGCAATAAAGTTGATAAAAAAAAAATGAAGAGACAGTGAAAAAAAAAAAAATCTAAAAAATGTTAAGTGCCCTCTGTCCCCCAGTGCTCGGGCGCAAAGGTGAATGCATATGTAGTTCTTGCACACGTATGTAAAAAGTTTGTGAACTACACATGTGAAATATCGCCGCGTGAGAACAATAATTCTAGCACCAGAGCTCCACTGTAACTCTAAACTGTAACCTGTAAAGTCTTATAAAGCATTGGAGATTTTTTATGTACCGTAGTGTGCCACTGTTCCACAAGTGTGCATCATTTTAAAGCGTGACATGTTAGGTACCTGTTTACTTGGTGTAGCATCATCTTTTATATTTAAAAAAAGAGGGGTATTATATTGTGTTTTTGTGAATTAAAATTCACTAAAGTGTATTTTTTCCAAAAAAAGCTGCATTTCAAAAACCTCTGCCCAAATGCCATGTGACATCAAAAATTGCAACACCATTTTATTCTCTAGGGCCTCTGCTTAAAAAATATATCATGTTTGGGGGTTGGAAGTAATTTTCCAGCAAAAAAAAAGTGACACTTATGTGAGAAGTGTCAGAATAGGCCCGGGGATCAATTGGTTAATACTACTTTAGCATTTAATGAAGTAGCAATAGTAGCCATAAAGGCGGAATTAATCTCAGAATTTTAAAACCCACCGACAGGCGGGCAGGCAGGGTTTTATAACAGAAGATCCGCAAGTTGTCTCTCCTCTTATTAATGTTTCCCCCGGCCCAGTAATGTACATTGAGCCACGCATGCACCCTCCTGCCCACATGGAAGAAAAATATATTTTAAATATATTGACATATATTTGAAATACTACAATTTTGGCTGTATTCAATTTATTTCAAAATATATTTCAATAAATAAATATATATATATATACACACATACACACACATATATATATACTGTATGTTGAAATGCATCTTTATTACAAAATATATGAAAAATATTTTTTAAAAATACAAAATATACTGTATGTCTTTAAAAATACATTTAATCTACATTTTTGGAATGCATGTACAAATATATGTATAAATATATGTTAAAATGACTTTTTTGTATATTAAATATCTGAAGAATATATTTAAAAATTATATATTTAAAAAATATTTTTCATATATTTTGTACTGTATAAAAAAAATGCATTTCAACATGCAGTGTGTGTGTATATTTCAAATATATTTTTCTTCCATGTGGGTGGTTGCAGGAGGTTGATGGAGTCATTTAAACCTAGGCCACATCACTAGAGTGGTGCTCAAGGACGGCTCAAGGTGGAGATTTTGCCAAAAAAAGGATACTGTTGCTGAATATTGTTACAAATTTATTCATGCAGATTTGTCTGTTGCTGGGGGGTCCACTTTAATCTCTTCCTGCCCAGATCTAGCATTCTTTTAACTGGGCTATTACGCCTAGGAAGAAAAGGGGGGAAAAGGAAGGGTAGGCGTGAAGGCCTGCCCAATCATGTCACCACTGTGGTTGGTTGTCACAGCGAGGGAGAATGTCACCAGCACACCGAGGATCACCAATATGGGTCCAAAAGTTTTAATGAACGATCACATAGTTACAGCAAGGCAATGTATCGGCAATGTTTCGGAGTCTCGCAGGACCCCTTCACCAGGCATGTGACAAGAGTCCTGCGAGACTCCGAAACGTTGCCTTGCTATGTCTATATTATAGTTCATTAAAACTTTTGGACCCATATTGGTGATCCTCAGTGTGCTGGTGACATTCTCCCTTGCTGATTCTGTTGTTGGGTTCCTGCCAATGGTTCCAGCCATTATTAATGCAGGAAAGTGTGCGTTTGGATTGTACACTTGCATTCTGGTGGTCACAGTGGTCACATGACCAGGATCTGGACCCACTGGCTCCCAATCATTACTAGGGATTGGAAGCTGTCTTTGATATGGATAGCACAGTAAGCACACTGCTAACATACAAACCTTGCCCGCCCATTGTGGAATAATTCAGTTAAAGTCCATCTTTGGTGCCGCCCATATGCGTTACGTGAATTCCTTGAATTACAGAAGAGTGAGTCCATCATGGCCGTCTTGTCTGTGGATCTCAGAATGTTTCCATGACGGTATGGA